GGCGAATTACGGACGCACTTTCAGGATAATATCTAATTTCAACGCAATTTTGTGAAACTTGATTGAAGTTTCACAAACTTTGGGTTGGGGGCGTGTCACGGTCCTCCGTGACGTTTGGGTTCAAGGCGCCCGGCGCGTAGGCAACCCATCGCACAAAGGTTTTCGGCAGTGCCGAGGGATGGCGTTGTCTGTGCGTCGAGTGCACTCCGGCTTGTCCCCTTCCCTCCCCCCTTCCACTTTTGACGTTCAGCTGGTCAGCTGGCCGGCTCGGTGTGCCAGAGCTTGGCGCGACACCGACCCGGGCGTGCGAAAGACCAAGCCCCGCCTAACATCCTCATTTCCCCGGTAAGCTCCCCGTCCACGCTTTGAGTGGTTTGCATCTAAAGTCATTCTCAGTTAGTGATTGCCTGTTTAAACTCTTTTAGGGTCGTCATTCTCCATGACTGGACTACTATGAAGTTTGATAGTTTCGTTTCGCCATGCCTCAAGTTTCTGACGTCTTCAAGTTCACTGACTTTCTGAGTTTGGTGTGGATTGCCTCTTGGTACTGTTTTGTATGTACGATTTAGTCTCCCGCGGTGGAGCGTGTGCTTTTGGCCATGTGGCCGGTATCATGATGAGGTTATTGTCTACTTTTGTGCCAAGTGCTACTGTGTCAGTCATTGAATGCAATAAACTGTGATATTTATGTACCTATGGTTTTGGTTTTGAAAGGAATGATATTCCTTGGCGCCCTAAAGAAATTCAATGCTAGGACCACGCCCCTCTATCCGGCACTGCTGAGCTAGCATCCAGTTTTTGTTTTTAAAGAGTAACTTTGCACGTTACATTTTGGCGCCCAACGTGGGGCCTTATTATTTTGTTTAGGGACTCTGTTTGGACGAGACTTGTCCTTTGTCAGTTTTGAATGCCTTTGTGTTGTTTATGTTGACTGTTAACATTTCATTTTTCATTGGCTAAACCTCTAGTTTATCTTGAGGTGTCCCTGTCTTAGTGCACAGAGTTTCCGTTGTCAGCCTTTACCATTCTGGCTGTTTAATTATTTGGCTGATTCCCGTTGGTGTTGCTTGTGGCACTTAGTTGTGTGAACTTGATGTTAACTTATGTATTCTATCACGATCATTCTGAGATTATCTTTGATGTCTTCAGGTATTTCTGTAGTGCATAGTGTGACTTGATTTGTGATGTACACTAGTGTTAGTTGTGTTACTATTACTGTACTTGTTCACTTGTTCTTTTGTTGGCGTTATGTCTGCACTATCAGTTGAGCTTTTTGGCATGGTGTTCGAGTGATTTGTTTTGTTGCTGTTATCCCTTTTTATTTTGCAAGTGTGAGTACATTTGGGTCGGGTTATTAACTTGGCAATTTCTGTAGGGCAGTTTAGGTTTAAATTTACTCCAATGTTTGGCCGACTTGGTTATTTTGTAATTCCTATCCGCTACAGTTATTGTGTATCGGGACTCTTAGATCTTTAGGATCTGCAGGATGTTGACGAACATCCTTTTCTAGTTCAATTATCTTGGTCTAGCCTTGTGTTTTGTTGTTTTGACTGCACTGATTTGTATTGACGTGAAGTTTTGAATTAGAGGACTTCTCAGTCGAGTTGTCTGTCCATTTTGAAGTTGATAACCTTAGGGTTTACCATTTGGGTAATGCAGGTTTGATTATACCTTTTCCGCTTTTTGAAGTGATGTAAAAATTAATACCTCTCAGGGACAGTGCACTTAGTTGTGGCATGGCCTTGAGTAGGCTACGTGTATCATGCTTTGTAAAATAATTTTGCTGAGATTTTTGATCTTTTGAGTGTGGGATCTTCAAGCCGTTTCGCTGTTTAGCAGCACTTTGGTTGGGCAGCAGCATTTATCGTTTCTAGTCAGTTTAGCAGTGGCCTTAGGCACGTTACAGGCGTGCGGATATCGTGTGGTGCCTCGCACCGAGCCAAGGAACTGCCAGGCCAGGCGGTTGAGGCTGCTGCTCAACATTTGCACACAATCGCACC